CTGTATAAATTGTTGATGGATTTCAGTTAGATATATTACTCTTTTAAGATGCATGAATAATATATATGTGTACACACATATGACATTAGTCATTTTCCAATACGTTTAAAGTCAGGTCCATTCATGTATGTAATATGAAGAAGTAAAAAAAACAAAATATGTAGATGTTAGGTTAAGCATAATTTTGTGTTTTTAGTATAATATAATAATATATTGATTCTAAATGTAAAAAAAAAAGAAGAAACAATCTCTAGATTCTAAAGGAATATAATTAGATTTAGTTACCAACTAGATCATTATCAGAGCAAGATCACAACGATTTTGTTACGGATTGTGAAAATCTCAACTATAATTCACAATCCCTATATAAATAAACCCTAGTTACACAAACCATCAATCACAATTAACCAACACTTTCCATCATCACTTCTCATAAAAATCTTTATATACTCAAAGAAAGATGGAGAACAAAAGAATAGCGATGTTAGTGGTGATGATGTTGGTGATGGGGAGCATTTTGATTGAGACAGAGGCTATAGCTTTTACCGAATGTTACACAGGTTGTGTTGTAGTGTGTGGTAATACTGCGCATGGACTTAAAAAAGTTGCATGTCCTTTCAATTGTATTAAAGAATGTATGCATCCTAACCTTTCTTCTGAGCTAAATCTAAAGGAATTTGACCAGACTCATTATTTCTGCAAACTCGGATGTGCTACTAATCGTTGTGTTTCAATCTCATCGATCGAAGACAAGGGTAAGTTTTATAAATATTTATGATATATAACTCTATACACTTTAATCTTGTGGCTGTAAAAATGTTTAATGATTTTTTTTTTTATCATTCATTTAATTTTCTAATGGAAGTAAAAAATTAAAGATTCATTTTTTCTAATGGTTGTTTGTTTTTATGGGCAGATCATGCGGAGAAAGTTTCAACATGCGTGGATTCATGCTCAGATATGTGCTCCCATTAAAACTAAAACTGACACTTATTGATTTGGTTCTATAAAAATTGATGTCGAAATAAAAAGATTTGAATTATTAATTGATATCTCATATTGGTGCACTATCAATTCTAAAGCGGACAGATTTATGAATGGCATCCGATTAACTGTTTCTTTCTTGTATTTTTATGTAAACTCATCACCATCGCTTTAGATAACCTAACTGTGGTAAATTAGTTTATTATTCTGATGAACTATTAATTTTAATACATTACATGTTCAATCCAAATGACAAAAACAATCAATCCTAAACAAAGAGCCTAAATGATAAAAGGAGGTTTAATAAGAATTTTGTAGATTGACCAACATGTAAGTCACGTTTCCAATAGATATCATAACGAATTACTAGCTGCACCATAATTATTTGCATTTTTCGTAAAAAATTATAGAGAAAACTCTTGTGATCAATTTATCTACCATCAGTTGACGAAATGGTATTGAGCTCCATCGTTGTATTACATTTCTTCCTCCAAATAAGTTTCAATTTTTGCATACACATTTTCGTATTACTAATAACGTTTAATCATGCGAGTAACCCGAGTACGTACGTTATGTACATGTATATCTTCTAATTGTAAGATCTTCTCACCTTAAAAAAGAAGTATAGAATCTCAAAATCGGAAAATAAATGGAAAATATAATCCATTAATGATCGTATCACCACACCAATATTATACCTTCATTTCTTGTTGACCATAAAAATGGTGAATAGTTCAAAACATTTCGCAATCCCTTTATGAACAAACGTTACTAGTCTACAAACAACATATGCAATAATAAACAATTTGATAAACTTTATACTATTTTTTATATTAAAAAAAATGGAGAGCAAAAGAATGACTACGTTGGTGACAATGATGTTAGTGGTGGTAATTGGAAACCTTCTGGTATAGACAAATGCTCAGTGTAACCATTTTAAAGGTTGTTACTCAGACTGTCTTGTGGTGTGTAAATCTCACACGAAGTTTCCAAAATCTATTTTGTGTCCATTCACATGTCTCATGACTTTTCTTGTTCCTACTCTACCATCACCTTCTCCTTCTTCTGATATGGTTTTAACAAACAAAATCGATAATACTGATTACTTCTGCAAACTCGGTTGTGCTACTCATCATTGTGTTTCTCCTTCTCTCCAAAATCCGAGTAAGTTTTCATTTTTTCCATACACATTTTTCGTAAACATTTTAATCATGTGTATGTGCTAATTAATTGTACGCATGCCTAGTGATATATCTCGCCCGTAAG